GGGAAAATGCTAAGTTTCTTTCATTTTAACTTGTGGGCTTGACAAAATGGCGTATAACGTTATACAACACACCATCAACATATGTAATTAAAAAAACATAGGATATTCCATTAAGAAAAAACCATAGGATATTCATAGGTCATGAATAATGAAACTCACTTTAGAGGCTTATATTCCATAGGTTAAAATGAGCTTTTTATTTAATTTTTTTTAAATACGTTGTTCCTTTTTTTTTTCTTGTTTTTCCTCTTCTCTTTTTTTAATTTTTAATTTGTCCAAAAACCTGCAATTAAAAATTGAAAATATGGTAGCATTAATTGTCCTTAAAAAGATCAATTAATAACAATTTTGACAATTTTGCCTCTATTATGTACTAATTCAAGGTAAAGCACTCTAATATGAATTATACTCAAATAATGCAATTAAGGACTAATAATAATGACAAAAACCCACTAAAAAGATATAAAAATGCATGTAAAACATAGGTTTGTAAAAAATATTTTTTACGGCGGTTTTTTAAATAACTCATAAAAAGTCTATCAGAATTTTAAAAACCTATCCATCACGCAATAGTTTTCACTTTTTAGAGTCAGAGCTCATAGTCCCCCATCTCTGTCCTCAATCGATTTTCTCCCTCCTCCCACCTTTACCGGTATTTATCCTTTGCTTCTATCATCTCCGCCATGTTCTTCCATCATCGTCATTGTCGCTATTGCTGTCGCCATCGCCTCATCCTCTTCATTCTTATTTGTGAGCTTTTCACCCTTTCTCCTCTATTCTTTCCATGGGTTTCATAGTTTTTGTGGTTTGATTGTTTTCTTTAGTTAAAAATATGATGTTTAATCTGAGTTTAAATAGATCTGATTTTTATTCCTCTACCTTGTTTAAACATACTTTAATACTTAAAAGTTTGAATAGATCCTATTTCTCTCTCCCTCATTTTGTATGTCAGAGTTTGATAGTCTGAAATTCATGAATTTTATCATATCTGAGTTTTTGATTTTACCTTTATTAAATCTTAGTGGCTTCGATCTGGTGGTTGAAGGCGAAGCTAAGTAGCGCTATTACGGTGGGAAAGAACCTATGTTTACTCCATCAGAATGCTTTTAACTGGTGAGAAGTTATTGGTTAATTCATTTTCAAACCCCTTCTTTTGGGGCTTTGTTCTCCCGTTCCATCCTAATCAATGGGATGAAAAGCAGACGGAAAAAAAAAAAAAACTTTTTCACGCGGTTATAACCGTCGTGAAAAGTCACATATCATAGCGGTTCTTAAACCGCTATGAAATCCTTTACATTTTATGCTGATGGTATAGACGTCGCTTTCAAAACTGTCATGAAAAGCTCATTTAACCGCCATTAAATGTTTTTTTTTTTGGTAGTAGTGACTCTTATTGTGTGTCACATTTGTAATTTCTATTAGCTTATATATATTATTGATAATTATAATTTGTCATGTTTGTGAGCCTCAGAATAATGTTGCCATCACTTATGTACTAGCATTTACGAAATACCAGAGCAATGTTTAGTACGCATAACAGTGCTTTATGATCAAAAGCAAATAAGAAAATGTATTGCCTTAAAATAAACACAATCATAATGTACAGTGCGCTTTTTCGTTTCCTTTTTTTTGGGTTTTTGGGGGGGGGGGGGAGGGGCAACATTTTGGACGAATCATACATTATTTTAATGTATAAATTAGGGATTTGCAGCCTCGTCGTCCATTACCTTGTTCCAGGTACGTTTGTTGAATAAACAAAAGCCCACTAAATAAACAACTAAAGCTTTTGATAAAGAAGGGAATTATAAATTTATAAGAGTTCTTTGAGTCATGAGTCACTAACTCAACATATATAAATTTATATATATGAGTGGTGGCCAAAAAAAGAAAATAAAGCTGAGAAAAGACTTTTGAGTCTAAATATTGTATTATCACGTGAAGTTGTACCGTTGAACATAATTCACAGTGAGTTGGTGTCGGTGGAGCTTATCGGTATAACAAAGCTATTTTTATCGTATGTTCCACTTTAGAAAATTTCCGACACCTCTTTCAATGATTTTCACTGAGATTTTTTCACCGTAATCTCTCTTTACATATTAAAAGATAAATCATACGCACAAAATCATTTAAAATAAAATACCTCAGTTCAGATCCTCAGTGGTCAGGTTTAATAAGCAGACAAAACATGTATATAGAATCTCTAGTTAAATCAATAAAACCAATATTTACATCTAATGGCACAGATTTCTCAACCTAATTAAACAACCAAAATGAACATAAACTGCATTGATGGCTCTCTAATTAATTTTTATAAAAATACGACTCAATAAATTTCTTTGATATGACTTACGAGCGATTCTCACCTCATTTTTTCTCTTGCTAGATCTTTCTCTTCCAGCCTTTGGTTGTTGGCAGAGAAGAGCTAAATTCTAATAATAATGATAATATTTTTATATATACATGATTTAATTTCATTTTTTTAGTGACAATAAATTATTCGTTACGGACCAAACCAAATTTGAGTCACACGGCTCCAATTATTGAGAAGGCTCTTCGAAAATGATTTTTTTTCCTGTTCATATTAAGTTTCGGCACTTATCAACCCCCAACCGTTACATTATTGGTAGACAGTACATAATTTCTTTCACTCCTTTTGAATATTTTCCAAAGTGAGATGACATAAGTGATGTCAATGACCTGTAAAAATCTAATTCTGCTTTTGATATTTTCTTTCTCTGCCAATATCTGCAATCACTTATTATATATTATAAAGTCTACTACGCCCAGCACGTCTAAAAGCCCAAAAAAAAAAAACAAAACAAAAGAAAAAATTGTTCCCAGAATATCATGAAGTCATAATGTTGTGATAAAAGATGAGGAAAATCATTTTACGGGGAGTGTGAAAATTGGATTTTTTTTCAAAGCTTATATTGTCCCCTTTTTCCTTTCTAAAGAAGTCTAGTTTGAAAAGTAAAGATCTAAATGTCTAAAGATGAGAAATAACTGTGTGAAATGAACAAGGATGCATAAGATGTAGCCCATTCTTGGAGCAAAATTACCCCACCACCTTATCTCAAAAGAAGATGCTCTTCGTTGCGGAAAATGATTGTCTAAAATTCAGTGTTCTTTTATGCTGCTGACCATTTTTCAAGAGATAACATATACTGTTCTGTCCTATTTATAAGACACAAGATTTTTCCTAGTTCTATTTATAAGTTACACCTCATTAAATTTTTAGCATGAATGTATTATTTTGTTCTTCTTCTTTTTTTTTTTTTTTTGCCAGCTTGTTCTTCATTTATTATAGTATAGATAGTTATTTCTTTAAAGGTGTGTATATTAAATAAGGGTAAATTTAAAAAGCTGTTTTATTTGAAGGGAGAGTTAATGTAATTTAAGATTTTTATTAATCTATATGAAATATGCTGAAAATATCCTATAAATAGAACCAGAGAAGTGTGTTATATCGGTATGCTTAAATCTATAAATTTTGTCACATTTTTTGTATTGGGTAATGGGTATCATACCTATTATTTCCACTTAAATACACTTCATGTCTCTGCAATATATATATATATATATATATATATAGACGCACATATATATAAAGCTTCGATTAAAATAAAAAAAAAAGGAACAAAACAAGAAGGTAAACAAGTAAACTATTGACTAGCATTACAAATACAAAACGAAAAATTGCAAGAAAAAAAATTGAACATGTCCAGTAGTGATATGATTATAAACCTTGTGATAAAAACAAACTAGGTAAAGATAATCCTCCGATCGATGTTGATAAAGAAAAATGGAATCAAAAGGTGGTTGTTGTGGTTCTTAGCTCGATGACTTGTGGGTCTCCCCACTAAGCATATAATCGTGTGTGTGTGTGTGTGTAGATGTATCCACTGTTAAGCAACTTGAAAATTCAATAATGACGACTACTTTTCCTGCAACACAGCCCTTATCTTTTGGAAGAGTCCACTACTTCATTGAAAATAAGAAAGGAAGGAGAGAAGAAGTTAAACATAACTTTTTATTTTTCCTCTTGATGATTAAATCATGCATAACTTCAGTTAAAGAGAAGAAGTGATTCAATTAATACTTATCTCTTTTCATTCATTATTTTAAACATGTTAAATTAAAAAATAGAAAAGTACATATTTGTATTTCCTTTCATACTGTGAGCAAAATATAATTCATTCCATCCCTTTCCTTTCATTGTTTCTTTTCCATTTTCATTCACATCTTTCATTCTGGGCATCAAACAAACCCGCATATAAAATTATATTCATGTTATTTACAATTTATGATAGTGTGACATGTATGTTATACATTGTGTGATAACTCAATTTAGTGTAATGTAAATGAGTTCAAGTATGATAGGAAATTTGAATGTTACTTGAGTAAATATTTTAGCACATTATAAGAGAGGGTTTAGATTAATTTCGATAGATTTTACTGATTAATTAAGTTGAATATTAAATTGATAACAAAAATAAGAACTGAGTTTTAAATGAGTTGAAAATTGAAGGACCAAATGATTAACTTTTCTTATATTTTATTTAAGAGTTAATGTCAAAACCCAACTCATCCAGTGAAATATACATAATAGATATGCGCATTAAAATAAGAGGCTGAACATTCATCGCGCTATATTGCTGTACTACTTCTCTAATTGAGTGTAATATTTCAAAAACTTTATATTCCCTGTTTTAAAAATAAAAAAAAGCATGCGATATATTAGTCCATGTAAGTGATTTTACTTTTTAACTTTTGATTGAAGTAATAAAAGATATAAATCTGACATTAAATGATCATAGGTACCCATTATATTACGTTACAAGAGTTGAAACGATAATGCTGAAACAAAACATTCACTTCAGTTTTATACAAGTTCCAAACCGACCATACATATGATACAAAAATCATCACAAGCTTAGAAAATTTACGTTAAAACATCAAGAACAGCACTTTACACAAGCAGACACACTTCCAAATCAAGTTCAACCCCTCATTAGTTGTCCAATTGTGATGGTGTGAAATTGATCCTCTGAATAGGATTTTAGTGTCCTTGCAAGCTCCCTAGATACTTGTTCCATGGTTGGACGAGAGTTAGGAGTCTCTTTCAAGCAAGAAAAAGCTATTTTTGCAACTAAGATCACATCATCTTGGATTGGTTTTGTGAGTGGAGAAAGTCGTGGGTCCAACACGTCGCTTAACAACAAATCATTATTGGTTGAATTCTCTGCCAAAGATGAAATAAGCTCCGCGGGATGTGTACCCATAATGATTTCTAAGGTCAATACTCCGAAGCTATAAACATCACATTTCTCATTTGCTTGCATAATGAAAGCAATCTCTGCAATAGGATTTAATGTTATATATATCCATAATATAGCAAAGATTAATACTTTGGAAAGAAGAGGGAAAAAGATAGTCTTACCTGGTGCAGCGTAGCCAAATGTGCCAGCAAATGTGGTCATATTGTTTGAGTTAGGATTCAAAAACTTTGCTGTTCCAAAGTCAATGACACGAGCTTCTTCATAGTCAGAACTTAGAAGAACATTCTTGCTTGATATGTCACGATGAACAATGGGAATTGAACAACCATGATGCATATGAAATAAAGCATTAGCCACACCTTTAACAACATTTACCCTCTTACTCCACTCGAACTTAGTGGCTTGTTTTGGATTCTTTAGTATGTTGTCCAAGCTGCCACCTTCCAAGAACTCATAAACCAGAATGGAGAATTGTGAATTGGAAAAAAACCCATACAACTTCACAATGTTACGATGCTTGATTTCTGTCAAAGCTTGAATCTCACTTGTGAAAGCTTTCTTGTTGGAGATGTCCCCACTTGGCATTGAATGAAGCTTCTTTACAGCAACAACATCACCTGTAGGCAACTCAACCCTATAAACACTTCCTTGGCCCCCTTTCCCAATGAGATATCTTTCATCAAATTCCTTTGTGGCTTCAATGATATCTTCATATGTTACTTCTCTATCAAGACTCCATACAAAATAAACATCTTCTGGTGAACCTTCTCCATCTTTGCTTTTGGCTTTTGTTGCTATTCGAGCCAAAATGAAAGATGCTCCAACAATTAATAATAGTAGTATGGCCAATGGAAGGAATATTATTAGGAACTTTTTACTCTTATGGCCATGTCCATTTGTTTGAAGATCACCACAGGCACCTAAACCAGCGACATCACCACACAACCCTTTATTATTCCTCAACGCATCAATGTTGTGAAAGGCTGGGTTGTTTGGAATGAGGCCTTCTAATTCATTGTATGATATATCAACTATAGACAAAGCTGACATTGGTCCACTGAAAGTGGAAGGAATGGTGCCATTGAGATTATTATGTGAGAGGTTCAATACCTGCAATGCAGGTAACATTCCAAGTCTTGCTGGTATTGTTCCAGTTAACAAATTGTCACTAAGATCAAGTTGTTCAAGATGTTGGAGTTGACCAAACTCAAGGGGAATGCTTTCATCAAATTTGTTTTTGCTTAAGTTCAAGAACTTTAAGCTTTTTAATTCCCCAAGCTCTCTTGTGATTGTGCCATTGAAATTATTTGCTGCTAGCTCCAAAGTTTCAAGCTGACTAAGTGATCTTATATTTGAGGGGATGCTACCAAAGAAGTTATTGTGGGTCAGAGAGAGTTTTGTCAACATGGTCAACTTCCCAAGTTGTTTTGGAATTTGTCCAGACAAAAGATTTGAAGACAAGTCAAGTAAACCAAGCTTAGCTGCCTCCCCTAGTTCTGGTGGCATATCCCCAGAAAGCTTGTTATTATGAATAATCAACCATGTGAGACTTTGACACTTTCCCCACTTGGATGAAAGGTGGCCATACAATTGATTTCCACTTAGATCAATGTAGTCCAAACGAGAACATACTCCAAAGGCATCTGTGATATTATCAACTAATTGGTTATTCTGAAGCATAAGTCTTTCTAGACTAGAACAATTCTTCAAACTAGTTGGAATAGGACCAGTGAACTGGTTACCTCTAGCAACAAACCTATATAATCTGTTATCTTGACAAATCTGTTGTGGCAAATGACCATGGAAATGATTACCACCCAGTTGTAAATTATACCAACTTAAGTTATTCATTTCTCGTGGAAGTTGACCACCAAGATTGTTCTTCATCAATACCAAAGTATTGAGCTTTGTCATGTTTCCTATGGTGGAAGGAATATGTCCTGAAAGACTGTTATTTTGCAGAAAAAGTTGGACTAAATTGATCATGTTACCAATAGATTGAGGAATTAGACCATAAAGTCTGTTATCAGCTAAGGTTAAGTCTCCGAGATTTGTTAGGTTTCCAATAGATGGAGAGATTGGCCCAGAAAATCCATTGCTATGTAATTGAATACTAGTGAGAGAATAGAGACTCCATAATTCAGTAGGAATAGGACCCCAGAAATTGTTCCCATAAAGGAAAAGTGTTTGTAACTTGGTCAAATTTCCAATTGATGATGGGATTCTCCCTGATAAAGAGTTGTCTTGCAAACGAAGGTCTACAAGATTGCTTAGCATTCCAATCTCTTCAGGAATGAAACCAGAAAAGGAACTGCTTCCAAGATATAGGAGGCTCAAATTCCTCAAATTCCCTATTTCTTGGGGAATTGGTGTTGTGAGACTACATCCACTAAGATCAAGATTATTTAGAGTGGTTAGGTTCCAGATTTCAGGAGGAATGGGACCCCTAATTAATGGATTATCTGACACACTCAACATCAAAATTCTGGACAAATTACCAATTTCGTGGGGAATGGATCCATAAAATTGGTTGTAACTTATGTTGAAGTAGAGGAGACTAGGAAAGGCATTGAAGTTGAGACTGGAGAATGTACCTTGAAGGCTATGATTTGAGAGACTTATATTGATCACAGACATGGATTCATCACAAGAAATTCCCCTCCACTGCTCTCTGCAAGGATTAGTATCATTCTTCCAAGACGACAAGGTGTCTTTGCTTTCTTTGTTAAAGCTATCTCTCCACTTCAACAGAGCTTCTGCTTCGCTATCTCCAGCAGCAGCAGATGCAAAGAAAGCGACGCAGAAGAATAATGTTAGCATCTTAGTGGAATCTCTTTCAGACATGTTTTTGGTTGAAGTTTTGAATCAGCTAGGAATATGTTCAAAGACGGAATATTAGCTCGGCGGGTGAGTTGGTGGTTGCAAATGAAGGCTATCTGAGGCTTGGGATGTTCTAGTTGATGATACAGGCCTTCTTATAGCTTGGGTTGGGCTTGCAGGCAATAATTTCTCAGTATACAATAATATTTTGCGATAGACATGCGCAAACCTAACCAATATTGCTTCAAGGGATATAAAGTATGATTCTTGGATTTGTTAAAGCTTTCCTTTTTAAAATTGACGGTGTTTCGCTTCTTTTTCTTTTCTTTTCTTTTTTGTTTTGTCTTGTTGCTTAACTTTCAACAGCAACAGGAACTCATCATTATTGTTTTCCCAACACTTCATGAACTTAAACAACTTGATGATTAAGAAGATCTGTTAGGGTTTTATCTTTATATATCTATTAATCAAATTTACAATATACTATAACTATTGAGAATGACAATAATTAATTAATAGTCTCTCATATTTTAATTATAAGGCAAAGTTATAAAGCTCTACTTGATCTAAAATATAGAACATACAAAAATTTAATAGCCCTGCCCTATTTTATTGCACTGCATTATTTTAATTCTAGTAGAACCCTTTATTGTGGATATCAATTTTAATAACAGGTGAAGTTGAAAAGATATACTAGTTGGGTTATTAATATAAGACCCAATTGACTAATTTAAAAAAATTAAGAAAGTTACTAAATTATTTTAAAATATGTATGTTTATTGCTTTTGTCAAAATAATTTGTCTTACTTATAAATTCATACATAATCTAATGATATGCATAAGTATTTTAAAAATATTATATGTAATATGTGCGATAATTACGTCAATTTTTTGACAAAAAATAGTTTATGTTAAAGATTAAGGTAACATATCCAAGTGAATATTAAGTTTCAAAAGAGTATACTGCTAGGCATAAAGTGATGGGCCTTATTAAAGTACTCTGTATGATAAAGCCCACATTTGCTGCTCCTTATCTTTAACAAGCAGACGCTCAACCCATTAAGTAGATTTCATCATATTGGCTAGGATGAAATAAATATATAAAACTTAATATTCCCTTGTCTTTTACATTGGAATTATTGAAAAGCTAATTTTGAAAGACAATGAGAAACTGAGAACTCATTTGTTAAAAATGCATAAACATATGTAGTTAAATAATAAAGATAGAATTCATTTCCCGTGAGGGACGAAGCCACGCGTCTGATGCAAAACGGATGACTCAAAAATCAATTATCAACTTGAAATCATGATTATCTCATAAGTTAATATTATCTGTTTTTCAATGAAAATTTTTAAAAAATTATCCAAACACCCTATTTTAAAATTAATTATGCTTATAAATCAATTTTATAAGCTACATGTTTTTTCTTGTACAATATAAATCACATTACGGAGCATTAATCGTGTCTAAAGTAATTTTGCTCTTTTTTTCCCCTCAATAAAAAAATTGGAAAAGTGAATGGATTATGACTTATGAGTGTGGTGCCACTACGCATTCCAGTCAAAAGCATGCACATAGGCAAATTTCTATTGGCAGCGAAAAATTTTTGCGGTGAATGCGACAAGTTGTTACAATTTTGACACTAGGAACACACCTGAATATACATAGGATAAGGTGCATCCAATATTGTGAAAAAAGTTTTTAGGTGCATATATCCAGCATTGTATAGTATTTTATGATGCATTTAATATCCTAAAACATTTTTCAAGTACGTCTAATATCTTAAATTATATTTTGATACAACTAGCATCTAAAGTACATTTTTAAGTGCATCTAACATATTGAAGTTTTTTTCATTGTGTACATCCAGTTTCCTAAATTACTAAGTCTACAATTGCACTAAAACATACTATAAAATTTGCACGCTTGATGTATATTACCCTATATATATTGCGAATTCTACATATATTGCCAACTGAAAATTCATTAAAATATAAAAAACTCACAACAACGTCTTAGGGGGGTTTGGGTGATTGCCCAAACCATAGTTTGGGGAAAAATTACCCAAACACCCATCAGTTTTTTGAAACTATGGTTTTATGATAAAACCATTGTTTGCCTATCAAAACCAAGGTTTTGTAATAAGCAAAAAAATTTTGCTTTTTGAATGGTTCTCCCCCCACCCCCTACAGTAATTTTTTTTAGTTGAAAACAATTATTTATTTTTCTAAAAACATAATCTTATATTTTATAATTATATATACACATATTAACAATTACTACATCCTGCCTTTAATATAAGACCTCATTTGACTTTTATTTGGTCCTAAATATAAAATCTCAATCTACTTTATTTCTCATATTTATCTATCGTTTTTCAAGTTATACTAATAAACTTGATTAATAGGGATATTGTAGGAAAGGCAACACCTGTTTATTACAAATAACTAACTTAACTTATTTTTTTAATATACTCAAATTAGTCAACTAACTCTTACATTTAGAACTGGATATAGTAATTAATATATGTTTTTATACATTGTTTATTATGTTGGCAAAAAAAAATTAATAAATTTATTATTCCGATCTTTAATGTACAACCTAATTGGAGAGTTAATATTGGTCTTAAATGTAAGATTATTATTCTGATCATTAATGTAAAACCTAATTGGAGAGTTAATATGTAGACAAGGTCTTAATACCTTCATCAATGGAATATTCATCTCACATGGCTCGGCTTCATGACTCCATAAGAGATCAAATTGTTCATTATATACAAGAATAGTCATGTCCTTTTTATTTTTTTTTCTTTTCAGATAATGTAGTGTGTTGTTAAAAAAAAACTACTTAGACAAATATATTTCGTTACAACCTCTATTATTAAGACAATTAATATGAAATTTTTTTGTGTGGTTATTTAATTTTGTGAAAAAAATTATGGGATTTCATCTTTAAAATTTTTAAGAAATAATAATTTTTTTGGCAAAATAAATCATTTTCCTAAAAATATATTTAATTATTTTATTAATATATATACACATTAATTTTTTATTATTTATATTATTTATGTCTTATTTATTATGTTGCCAAAATATATATTATTAACAAATTTATTACTTCAAATAAACATATATTATGAAATATATCTTACATGTAATTATCATTTAAACTTATGTCCTTTTTAGTAATTTCTACATATCAAAAAGCACTGATAAAGCCCAATTTTTATATATTTTATGCCACATTAATTTAGGATTTAAATGATAATTTTGAGCTTAAATGAACTTTTTATGCATTATTGAATTAATTGGTTGATTTTTGGATTTTGCATAAAAATTGAGATTTAGGATTAAAAATATAGATATTTTGTGATTTCCTATTTTGACTTGGAATTAATTTTTTCTATTTCTTTGGAAACAAGTCTCATATTTTTAGAAAGATTAGTTTTAGAAAGTTTTGCAATTTCTTGCCTAATTTTTGTGCATATCTAATATTTAATTTTGATAGAGATTATATTATATTTGGATATAATCTACATTAATGGATGCACTTAAATTCTTGTAGGTTAAGAAAGAGCATATAGGAGATCCAATGGTGCAAGATTGTTTCTTGGGATTTAAGCACAATCCAATGGCTAATATCAAGTGAGCCAATTAATTACTAATGGGCTTGAGCTTTAGATTCATAAAAATTTCCTTTTCTCCCATCAAAATATTTTCCTTATTTGAGAGGACAATTCAACGCCATATATCATATATATATCCCCTCATATATTTGATTCAAAAAACGTCAATTCTCTCCTTTCAACATTATCCCATATATCCACCATATACCACCTCTCTCCAGTACCACACCAAGAACCCACGCCACCATTCTTCAATTTCCTCGCCCACATGGCCGTTCTCCGCGTCAACAAGCTTGGAGGAGGAGATAATACCATGGAAGCTTAAGCTTATAGGGAGGCAACTTGGGAGAAGTATGGAAGAGACTAGAGCCTTGGGCTAGCACTTGAAGACCACAAGGGAGTGATGTTTCATTTATCTTTTTAATTCAAGGACTTGAAATTGTTTAATTTTAAATGAGTTCAAGTTGTAATTTTGTTGAGACAATTTAGTTCTAGATTGTCATTTTTATTCTTGGATTGGATTGATATTTGGATTTTATTTGTGTTGAGACACTTGTTGGAATCTATGTTTAGAACCTTTGCATTGTTAATTAAATTTATAATTGAGTTTTCATTATGAGTTTAATTATCAATGTGGTTTGAATTGCAAAATTTTGGTTCTTTTGCTTCTTAATTGTTTGATTAAGTTGGTTAATTATCTGATTGTTTAATTGGATAATTTCAAACATAATTTCCAGAATTAATTGAGTTATTTTTCATTGGTTTTAATAAGCTTAATTAACCAACCTTATACTGTTATGAGTTCTCTAATAGTTTAAGGGCTTTGGAAATTGAGGGTTCCCTTTGTTTCAAGTAGGTAATTAAGTTTATTAATTCCACCCTCTTATCACTTCCCTTTGGTCTAATTAACTGATTAAGGTTATGAAGGTTGAATTCATGTGAATCCTAAGTTGTCCCCTTTACCTTACCTGAAGAGAACTTCTCAATTTTCACTTCTTAATTTTCTTTGTTTTCTGATTAATTTTCTTTACTCATTATTTTTATTTTCCTTCAAAAAAACCCCCCAAAAAAATTGCATTGCATTCATTTAGTTTGATTTAATTTTCATATATATTTTAGGGCATTTACATCTTGCATTTAGATTTAGAATTTTGCATTTTAGTTTAGGTCCAATTTATTACTTTTTTTTTTTATCACCTAAATTTTCACCTAAAGAAACCCACAACTTGCTCCTTGGAAGTAATGACCTAGGTCGATCCTAAACTACAAATTAATTAGGACCTAGTTTAATTGAGTGCTTTAACGACAGATGCATCATCAAGCACTTCTGACAATAATTATCCAAACATTTTTACTTTATCAGAATCATTTTTTCAGAAAATCTATTCTTTCAAAATCTATTCTCTCTATAATCTATTCTCCAGAAGCTATTCTCCAAACCATGATTTTGCCTTATCCAAACACCCCCTTAGAGAGATT